GAAAGAAAAGCAAGCTGAAATTGGAGTCAATGGCGCATAACCAGTTGACTTGTATCCTTAATTGTGATGGAGGCATGGTCGAGTCGGCAAAAAGCTCATGGTTGATAAATTCGAAAAAAAAGTCTCAAGTTCCATCCCTCTGGCAGATAAGGCTCGATCCCTTCCAACGCTATAAATTAAGAACGAGGAAGAAGAAGATCTAGATCTACTAATTTTTTTATGAATGCGCGTTTTAATTAGAAAAGGTAAAAAACATAATTTGCCTAAGGCAGGAAACAGATCCAATCCTCAAGCATCTACTTTTAGGGTCAATTTTCGCCAAATTTCAAAGTAACAAATATTGACATATTATAAATCAATTTTGTTACTTAACAATCGAGGAATTCAAAAATATAAAAATTAATAGCACTAGACATGTACATCACGTTCAAAATGTAGATTAACCGCACTCACTCAACTGAATTTTTTTTTTTACATCTAAATGTGTAGTGAGGTCTAAATATCCATGAAATTCACAAAATCAACAACATAATTACACATAAATGTCACTTAGGCATACATTTATTTGTAATAATGTCAAACTTTACAAAATATACCAATTTATAGCTTATTTCTGTAATTATTCTTGAAAAAAAAAACCACCTCCCTCCCCTTTTAAAAATGTTCAAAAAATTGCTTTTAGAAACACTCTGGGGAAGAAAAAAAAATAACAGAGTTAAATATAGAAGGTCTATATATATAAAACATTATTGGTAAAATATGTCTAAATGCCAATTTTTATTATAGTTGCAGCATTTACATGGCTAGTTATAATTGTTTAGTACTTAAAACATTAATTTAAAGTTATGACTGTCTGTGGCCTCATTCAAATAGTGTAGTGTCAGTGTAGGTGATTTCATTAGAATTGATAATGAACAGAATGTAAAATTAGAATTGGCCTATAAAAACAATGTTGATGATAGATGCAATCGTTTTAATGCTACTTATAATAGATCTAGATCAAAATGACTAACATAATTAAAACCTAAGAATCTGGAAGCGGTGACCTAATTTTACTGACACGGTTGTCAAATAGTAAATAGATTTAGATCTACGTAATTTTTAAAAACAGAAGTTAGTGATTAGATCTATAATGAAATTGAAATCCACAACTAATATCTAAGTATCTTTTTGATTTAAAAAAGAAATACGCTTAGTTCTAAAAAAAAAAATTCTATGGTGTATTCGATCCCTATCCCAAAACGTGCAAGCCATATCGCATGCCTAGTCAGGTACTCAGCTGCTTATCAAACCTTTGAATTTTAAACTTATATAATAAAAGTAGGTCACCCTAAAAAAAAGAGTAAAATGGCTCCCGTTTTCACGACAGCCGTCACTCGATTCATAATTTACAGAGTTATAAAGTTCTACTTTCTTTTGGCTATAGATTTAAAGAAATATTAATTTGTTATTTCTCATGCGTTCCAACAATTGTACCTAATTTTATCTAAGAATAAACATTAGATTAGTAAGGACTCGATTCTTTTTTAGAATTAGCCCTCGACACTATTCAGACTATTGTGAAGAAACAGGGTTGTGCGAAGGTTAAAACCTGATTTCAGATGGAAAATTTTTACTTTGAAATAATTACTTTATCAATTAAATTCGATTTAAAACAAATGGCTTAAAGTCAAAAGTAAACTAAAATTTAAAAACTTTGTTATTCGCAGTGTACTCAAGATTCTCGTGTTTTAAAGATAAGTCTAGTTTTACTACGTGTGCGTGCATGGTGCGAATATCAATTTTCCCTTACAGAAAATCATTAAAATAAAAAATAAAGTATCTACGGCATAATAATACTTATATTTTACAGAATTAAATAGATTTAACTAAACTGTTATTTAAATACTTGCTTCGGAGTAAAAAAAAAAAAACAATTTTATATCCTAAAAAAATTAACTGAAATCCCCGCTTTCAACAACCCCGATGTGTCGTAATTAAGGGCATTCATTTTGTTCAAATTAAAGTAAAATACACATTCAAATAATATTTTTTTTTACTTTCATAATTTATAGCAATCATTGCTAATGAAAAATCCTTAAAAAATAATAGTTATTTTTACAAAATATTATTTCTTACCTTATTAGTGCAGTAAACGCACTTTCCAAGTAGATCCGTTCCATCTAGATTTGCATACTTCGCATCCTTCGACGCGGCACAAAATGGCATAAAAAACGAATTCCACAAAAATGTTGCTAACGAAGCTTGTAAAAACATAGCTCTATTTATTAGTAAAAACAAAATCCCCGAACGATGTCTGGTTAGAAAGTTTATGATTGGCGATGATCGAACATGCATTTTGCGGTACCAATCTGTTTCCTGCCCTAAGCATTACAGTTCCAATAAAATAGTGTGTGATCATCGCGTGAGAAAAATCCCTACACTGTTTAGGGTTCACCGTAAGTTTACATTGACTTTAATTATCCCTAACAGCATACGTCATAGCTCGGGCAATTGCTATTTGAAATTGTGGTGGCCTCAGTTTTGGGATCATTGTGAGTTCATATACATTTATTTATAGTATCATGCGTGCGAGATACTTTTAACAATACAAACTTAACCGCCATGCAATTATGAGTTTGGTACTTAACCCAACGCCATGGGAATCCTAACTGAGACAAACATATTTTCAAGAGTATAAAAAAGCTAAATCTAGAATCTAGATCCAAATAGTGAACATTCAATAATTCGAAATTTGGATTTTTCTCAAGTTTTAACAAGTCTACTATAATCTAAAACTAAAACAAAAATTCATAAAGAAATAGTCTTAGAGTTTTCGTAACGTTTTTGTGTGTTTCGGTTGTGTTTATAATACAATACGCTCAACTGGAGGTGAATGTGAAGAGGGGAATAAAATACACTAAAATGGAGTTTTACCGACTATTAACATGACTAGTAGTTAGTAGTAAATAATCTACTAGATTAGAGTTTAGAATGGATTCTACCTTCTACCTAGATCCTCTTAGAACCTAGATCTAGATCGATTCAATTCTAGAATACTAAATCTATCAAAGTATGGTAATCTCAAGTTATCTTTTATAGCGTCGGAAATTATCTAGTAATGTTTGTTAAGTTTCATAAACATTAGTTACTGTAAAACCATAGTATATTGGATCGTTAAAATAGATGCCTAAATAAAGTTGAGTGTATTAAATTAGCCTAATGATTCAACTTAATTTTACGATTAACAGACAGAAAATTAGCAAAAATTAGTAGACCTAGATCTAAATATTAATGATAAAGTCGATGGTAGTAATAATGGCAGAAAACAGATCCAATTCTCAGCCGTCAATTTTCGTCAATTTTCAGAGTAACAAATATTTGCTTATTATTATACATCAGTTTTGTTGTTTAACAATTGAGGAATTCAAAAATATAAAAATTAATAGTACTAGACAATTACATCATGTTCAAAATGTAGATTAACCACACCCACTCAACTGATAACCTTTTTTTACATCTCAATGTAATGCTGTCTAAAAATCCTTGAACTTCATAATATCAACAATATAAGCATAAACTTATTTATAATTATGTCAATCTTAACAAAATATACCACTTTAGCGCCTATAGCTTATTTCTATAATTATTTTTGAAAAAAAAAAACCGCCCTCTCCTTTAAAGAATGTTCAAAATTTGGGCTTTTAGAAACACTATGTGGATGAAAATATAACAAGAGTTAAAAATATATTAAACATAATTAGTAAAATATGTCTATAGCTAACTTTTACTATACGAAGTATACAAAAAGTCTTGAAATCGTGAAAAAAAAAAAATCGAGATTTTTACAAATCTCGACTTTTTACACCTCACTGATACGGAAAAACATAATTTTGCAATCTTGTCCGTATGTCTGTGTGTGTGCGTGTAAACACGGTAACTTGAGTACCATTACAGCTAGGTTGATGAAATTTCATATGTAAGTATTTTATCAAAATCGTAGATCCCTATCAACTTTTGAGCGATTTCTGATAACCGGACGTGGTACTTTTTCTACTTTGAATTTTTCAAAAGCCTATAACTTGAGTATTATTTCAGATAGATAAATGAAATTTCACATGTAAGTAAAAGATCTAATACTCTACCTTCTATAAAAGTTTGAGTAATTTCTGTTGACTGGAAGTAGTAATTTACGCCATTTCCGACTTCTCAAAAAAAAGCATATAAAGTTATAAAGTACTAATATTATTCCGCACTATCATGCACATTTTGTTTTGCTGTTTGCTTGGTGCGCAATTCTTTTTTCTACGAGATTCTGTTCTATTTTAAAACTTTAAGTAATTAAAAATCATGTCTATATTCCGATTTATATAAGAATATTTGAGAAAGTTTAGAGGAGATCACTCCCGGTTTATTTATAACAGTTGCAGCATTTACATGGCTAATTATAATTGTTTATTCCTTTAAACATTCATTAAAAGTTACGACTGTACATGGCCTAATTCAAATTGTGTAGTGTATTGGTGTAGTTGAACCAGGTGTTGTTACGGCCTGATACGATTTCGTTAGAACTGGTAATGAGCAGATACTATCAAGTAGTAGGCTAGAGTCTAGAGACTCTAGAAGAACAAGTTCTACTACTAATGATTCTAATAGATCAAGATTTTTAGAAATCAAGAAGTCTCTGAGTATCAAATCAGTAATGATTATTTTTATTAAAAAAACCACAGCCCTCAACCTTTAAAAAATGTTCAAAATTTGGGCTTTTAGAAGTCCCTGAGTATCAAATCAGTAATGGTAACTTGGATAATATCAGTGTACAATGTGTTACGTGATCAATTTAATAAATTATAGGCCCTAATTAAAACTGTGGTCTAAAAATTTAATCTTCTTTAGTAAACTGTATTGTAAACCAAGTCCTACTATAATCCTAATCATGTGATAGGAAAATAACTTGAAATACTTTGTGTAACCCATTACTTTCTGAAGATAACATATTTCTATTTTGTTCATAATTGCAGGAACAAGGTTAAATCGACGGCCGAAAGTTCGTTTTTAAATTAATTGTGCACTTGCTAAGCAGTTAGTATAAAGCAGGTATACATGTCATAATGGAGATAGATAGGAGCCATTAAAAGAAATTTTCTTGGAAGAAATAAACTGGAAAGAAATGGCAAAGTTATGTTTCTGCAAAATTCTGGTGTCGGTTGCGCTTGTGTTTCAGCAAATTTTACATTCAGGTAAAAATAAAATTCATTGCTTTAGACTTATGCTTTGTTTAAGATTATGTTGGATTTTTTAACCAGTGTCCGATAATGGCACATTAATCGACTCTTCTTAAAAAAGGGGGTGTTAGGTGACTGGTAGTTAACTAGATATACATATGACTTGTGTATGTAAATGCTAACCCTACCCCTATTTTCTAACTATACTATGAAACTCAAAAAGGGCTTGCAATAATACTACTAATAACCTAACACACCTATTTTTGGAACAGTCTGTTATCAGACATTGATATACTCAATCATCTGAAAGGATAAGTTAATTATTTTTTTGTTGCAAATAAAGTAAAACTACTTGGGCTAGGAAGATAGATTTTACAGCTTGTTGTGTATTTTAACTCATTTTATTACTAGGTGTTATTTTATTTTATTAGTTCTTTATTTGTTAATCAAATTGTCTACAATAACATTAAAATAACACCTATGGTTTATCTATTATTACTTCTTAGAAAGAATTTTATTTTTAGTAAATGATTAACATACAGGCCTATTTACATTTTTATAAATCTTTTTTCGCATTAACTTGAGAATCCTTTTTAGTTTTGATCCTCACCCATCAGAACATTTTTGTTTCTTAGGCTGTCAAAACTATGGGTATGAGAATAATGGGCCCCCTACTTGCATAGATTTTGAGAGTCCCACAATATTGCAAACTGATGGCACAAGAGCAGGGCAAATTGTGTACCCATTAATGGGCCCTACATATAAGAAGTAAGTTAAACTTATCATTTGTGATTCACTTTGATGATGTCCCTTACATCTCAGAAACATTTTTCCAAAAGTAGAAGATTCTATGTTGTTGCAAAACTTTTGGCAATAAATCTTGCTATGTTCATCATACTTACATTAGAATTTGTGTTTTCAAATCAAGTACATTTATTTGATGTGGTCCTTCATTTATTCAACTATTGGCAATGGCCATTTTTGTTTATTGTTTATTTTCACTGCAGTTTTTGCATAAAACCAAAACAATTTTTTCTATGACTAATAAAAAAATTTTTAGGGCATAGTCTACAGTAGTTTTGCTGCTTTTATTCAATGTGGTTCTAAATTGTTTTGATTTTATTTTTGTGTCATATTCAATAAAATTGATAGGTACTTTTTTTACTCACTCAAAATATCCAGTAATTGCAAAGGTATTGTTTTATCATGATGCAACATATAAAAAATGTTTACAAGTATGATTGAGAACTGCCAGGTTTAAGCTATGATTCCTTATACAAGTACGATTGAGAACTGCCAGGTTTAAGCTATGATTCCTTATACAAGTACGATTGAGAACTACCAGGTTTAAGCTATGATTCCTTATACAAGTACGATTGAGAACTGCCAGTTTTAAGCTATGATTCCTTATTTTAAAAACTTTGTGCTTTGTTGGTGTAGTTCTTCATATTGTCCTGAATGGCAACTTCTTTCTTTAGTAACCAGTTGTGTGAGTGGGTAATCATGACGGAGCGAGCTGGTTATGTGATCAAGCTGCAAGTGTTGGATTGCAAGCTTGAGGACAAGGACATCTATGGTGAATGTAGCACGGATTATGTGGATGTTTTTGACTGTAAGTAATTCTAAACTTTGTATCGTTTCCACAGAAACAGACTTTTTTAACTCCATTTTTCGTTTTTATTCAAGATTTAAAAGCCTTTATTATAATCGCACATAGGGACAATCTCATACAAGGCCATACATCTCACCATTATTACGCAACATTTCCATTTTACCAAGTTTAATATAGAAATGTTAACGAAAAACAAAACTTTAAAGTCTTTAAATTTTTGAAAACTGGAGTTAAAACAATCTGGTGCTGGGGAAACTATATGCTCGTAGTGTTTTTATTGGACCTCGTAGCAGGGGGATAGAGAACATGACTGTGAACCATAAAGTTTGTACCGTGGGCTCAAGTCTGTAAATAAACTCTTAGTCCACCCAGTTCTGATGCTTACCTGACTCACTTTAGAGACATTAAAGGCGCTTGGGCATAGCATTGATCACCCTATGTTTACATATGCTGACATCAGTGAATCAGGTAAACTCTATTTCACCTGCCTGATCGACAGCAAAGTCATAAAGGATATCTCTATTGTTTTTTTTTTCAACTGACCACACTATCTCTTCAGATTCTCAGGCTCCAAAGAGACAAATGAACTACATCATATGTCACATGGACATTCTGGTTTGAAAGTGTGCCTTTTTTTTTTTTAAATTTCTCTTTTCAATATTGTCCGTAGGCAGATGAAGTAGAGCTTATCAATCTAAACATTACGCTAATAGATCAATAAACCATCAGAACTGGTTGGACTTTAGCCTATAAAGTCCTTAAGTACTCAGTAAAATGGTCTCTTTAAATATGGGTAGAGTTTGGGTTTAAGGGTAGGCCTATATCTTGAAATCTTAGGCTTATGCTTGACTTTTGAGGTGCTACAAAATTATACAAATGTAACTACAAACAGTGTAAGACAGCTTCAAAGACTGGCTAAAATGTTGCATGTATTACTTTCTTTATTAATTCTGATTTTGAAAAAAATTGAAGACCACACATGATAAACCACAGATGTCCACTTTTTTTTTTCAATTTTTGAGGTGGTGCCATGTTCAAGTAGCACTTTTGTTTATCTAGTGCCATAATCAAGTAGAACTGTTGTAGGCCTATAGCTAATGCATATATTCATGTAGTACTTGTGTATATCTATCACGTCTAACAATATGAAAGCATAAAATAATCTGGAACCCCCTCAATATTTAGGATTTTAAAATCATGACACAATGTAACAGCATATGATCTCAAGCTGAAAATCTCATTTTCTTAAAAGTAGAAAACTTTGATAACTGTGGTTTATCCCCTGTGGTCTTCAGTTGTTGTTGCACAGCTACATTTAGTGATCATAGGAAAAGGCTTTCCTGTAGTATTTTAGAATTTCTATACTTAGGTGATTTTTACTGAAATTTTTCAGTCTTTCTTAATTATATTGCTCTATCTAAAACATAGAATGTAAAAAAATTTTGATAATGTGTTTTATTTTTAAATCCTCTGAATATTTAGGGAAAAATGGGCAACCTGTGTTCCAAAATCGATTCTGTGGTACTGAATCCGGAATGATTTATGAAAGCTCAAGCCAAAAGATGACTCTAAGATTCCACTCTAGTGCCACTCTAACGTTTTCTGGTTTTACTGCTCGGTACCAATCTGTTGAAGCTGGTGAGTTGACTTAGCTTACATGGCTAATGAAGTCATAAATTTTCTCCTTGCTGACTTCGATAATTAGGCAGATTAAGTCTTAGATTTATTGCAGTATTGTTCAATCAATATTTCTGAAAATAGTGTACATGTATTTAATATTTCTTGTCAACAACTGTAAAAACAAATACTTGGTTTTAAATCAATCTTTAAAAGTAATATTAAAAAAACCACTTAACATAAATGTTTGTTTACTCTTCCTTGTCCAGCTGGTGATATGGACTCCAAGACAGTTCTTCTTGCCATTTGTATTCCCGTTGCTGTAATCATACTTGCTATGTGTATACCTTTTATATGGGGCATGTTGAGAATTTATCATCGGAAGACTGCCCCACCGACCCGCGTACCATCGAACAACCCGCCTCCCTACAGCATCACCAACCAAGACCCAGCGTCTTTGACCAATCTACCTCTCCGTCCCATGGTCCCTGCTCACATTTCCCGCTGCTCCGCCCCACCTCCTTCGTACGATTCCCTGCACTACGAAACTATACACCTAGACATGCCAGTGAACCCACCTCCCTATGAGCTGATAGTTAAAGATAACGGACATATTCACACATCAAGTGAAACTTGAACAGTTTGAAACTTGACGGCTGCGGCTCACTTTTTTTTAAAGTTTGGTTGTGCCACATTTTCTCAACCATTATTTGAAATGGTTGGGTTTATCAGGTTGTTATACTTTCTTGTCTACTCTATGCAAGTAAAGTAAAAAAAAAAATTTATAATTCATTGTATGGTAATGTGGGTTAGCTCTTCACCCATTATGAGAACTCATTTTTTTTCACAATAATATAATCTTTCATAAAAATACCTTTTTAATTTTAACATGTATGTAATTTTAAAAACAACAGACTTTTTTTCAGGTAGCTCATTTAAAATGTTTAGTTTAGTATTAGATTTTGGCATTCATCATTCAAGATATAATTTTTCTTTCTAATGTTACACTTTTTAGCCCACTTTTTTAAATCTTAATTTTGTATTATAAAATAATCCTCAAACATGTAAATAGTCAGAATCTCTTTTTCTCATATTCCCCCCCCCCCCCCCCCCCACTTTCCCTCCCTTTCCTTCCCCTCAAATAACACTGCTAAGTTTCTGAGATCTCTTGGAGTTATCATCTGCAGCTTGTATAGCTTAATTACATATGAAGCAGTGAAGAAAAAAATAGATCTTCATTCTATCACCTGGCTTGAATCTTAAAAAAAGTTTAATCACTGGTTAGTTGAGATTTTTATATAATTGTACTCAGGTGATCTGAATTCTTTTTATCTCAGTTATTTTTTTATATACATGAATCATTCCTTCCTAATTATAGGAAAAATTTATGCTGTACAATATATTTTATCATGTACGAGATCTGATTATTTAAGCTAAAGAATGATTGCGTATGCTTATGCCAGATTCCTCTTGACCAAACAACAGCAGTGCCTTAGGTTTATTTCAAACTTTTTCCATGGTTCATATTGCTGTGCCAGATTGATAATTCCACTAGTGTTTTATCGGTTGCAAGGTTTTCTCAAATTCCACCAGCAGGTGTCGTCCATAATGAGTAGCTCTTTTTAAAAATGGTTTATACCTTCCCCCTCCCCATATAGTCAGATTCCCCCCCCCCCTAAAATGACACATCCCCTCAGCCAACACACCCCCCCCCCCCCCCAAGTGGCATTATTTGATTTTTCAAAACATCGATTACTTTTTATAATTACTGAGTTTGGTCTTCATTGAGTATATTAATCATTTTTATCATAGTAAACAGCACAAAATAGCGGCTAATTTCTTTTTAAAATCACACTTTTTTAATTCATCTTCAACTGTTTCCCCCTAGTATCACATCCTTTAAAAAAAATTCTAATCTTCTTCCCCCCCCCCCCCCCCCAAACCCCCAGGGGTATGAGGCTTTTTATGGACGGCCCCTTAGATACATTTTCACAGTTTTTTCACATTCCACGGTTAAATACAACTTTACATGGTTTTATTTCTAAATAATCTGTCTCTTTTTTTGTACTTGTTGTTTTGAAAACAAACAGAAGTTTCCTCCCTCACAAGTTAGTGTTTGTTTAAAATATTAGTTAGTCATACTTTCTTGTTAATGTTCAAGAATAACTGCTTTCTTGTATTTTATACATATTTAAATAGTCTTCAAACAAATAAATATATATTTTCTCATACATGTTTTCAAATTTTACATAACTGAAATATACAGTCGAACTGATGGCCTTACACTGTTACTAGTTTAAAAGCTCCCTGCATTTAGCAAAACAATTTTTTTTTTTGCTGAAATATTGTCGTAATACATGGATGGAGAGAATATGCTAAAATATAACACTTTACATAAAAAATAGAAGCTGTCGTTTTAATATATATACAGTTGTTAAGTTGAAACTTAATTTTTTGATGTATATTTTCACATTTACATTAACAAATTTTGCTTAATATAATTAAGAGGTTGTAGAAAAAAAAACATTACTTTAGAAATGATTAAGTACTTATCATCTTGTTTTTGTTTTGAATTGTTTAAATAAATAATGATGCAATAAATTAAATATATAAATCAATGAACTATGATTACATCAATTTTTATTAATGTATCGCTCTGCCAGTTATATGGAATATTTTTCTTGTAAATGATAATTCCTTGTATAGATAATTTTTTCTATTCTAATTCTGATATTGTCAATGATTTTTTATGTAGATCCCACTGTGCAATTTTTTTTTAATATAACTATCAGTTTAGGTTTTGTAAAATATTTTTTTCTCATAGAATATTACATTTTATTTTTTAAAACATTTTTACAAATGTCTGTACATATTGTTCATTCCAGCTACATTCCATTTATATAGATATTTTGTGTGTAACAGTATGTATAATATACCCACAATGATAATAATTTGATTACATTGTTAACAAATAAACTTTTACATCAAATTGTCAGGATGTTTTAAGTTATACATTTAAACTAGGTATTTTCAAGTTTTGTGTTTATGTTCTTGCAGGCTTCATGGTATTCTCTGTCTTAAACATAAAATTTAAAATTAATTCATTTTCAGCAGCTTATTTTAGGGGTGTAGTGTTGCAGAAATGTCAACAGCTTACTCAACGGTCTTGGGTTTGAATCGAGGTCTAGACTTGTGACTGCAGGGTGTATTTGAGTCCACCCCCCTTTGATGGGTACTTGACTCAAGTTAAGGAAAGTTATGGCGTCAGGGCTTAGTTCTGACCATGCCATCTCTTCGTATGCAGAGGTAGAGACATAAACTCTACTTCATTTGCCCCATGGATCGTTATGTCTGAAAGGAGGACTTTTTAGTATACGCTCTACTTCATTTGCCTTATCATAGTTAAGTCTGAAAGGATAACTTTTTCAGAATCAATGTTTTCAAAAACATTGATTCTGCGACCACCCAAATGCTACTGCTTTTATACCTCCTTGGTAGATGAGGTCTGAAAATCATTAACTGTTTTGCATTGCACATAATCAAAGTTCTGGGGCATGTCGAAAAATAGAAAAATATTCAATGTCCCCCTCCCCCTAGTGGAATTTGATGTGAAAAAATGGCAGGTTTGTGTTATAGAAATTTCTTCTATCATCTGATAAATGGATTCTTTGTTCATTTAATTATCCACCAAAATTTAGATAAAAATTTTAATGATACATCAAATGTGGAAATTCAATTTTCTAAATGATGTTCTACTAACACATAAAGTGCAAATTTAATTTTAAAATATCCACCAAACTGATGTGAGGACGAAACATAAGAATAAAATTCAACTAAATGTGACAGAATCCAGTATGGTTTATCTAAGAAGTGTCCGTTATAAGAACATGGACAGAAAGAAGCTTTAAACAATTAGCCCTATAAAAATAGCAACTCAACCACCCCCTACCTATACATCAACTTTATAAAGTCAAACAAAACTTATAATTTTTTAAATGTACAATAAATGTACAACAGAAGACTTGAATTGCTAAGAAATAAAATCTTGTAGTGTAACATTGCAAAAGAGCGTAACACATATTTTCCTCAACTATGCTTGGATGATAAGAACAGTTTTATTCTAAATAAAAACATAACTAAAAATATATCTACATTTAAAAGTGACTATCAAATTGTAAGTTCTGATAGGAATAAAATAAATAACAATATTAACAGCAATTAATTAAAGTCACATATTCATTAAGTTACATAATGCCATTTAATATTTTGTAATAAATTAAAAAATTATATATTAAGTATCTGTTTTAAAATGCTGTGTGATATTTTTTATCCACTTTCCCATGTGATGGCGGACACATGATCAACCTGGTCACAATCGTCACTTAGCAACAGCTGGAACTCTTCTATAGGAACATGTTCCTTCTGACTTTCTGAATTCATAGATCGCAGCACAGACTTTCTTATTCTATCTTTCTCCCTTTCCTTGGCTCTCTGAGTCTGATTATTTAGGCGGGATATTTTTCTTCTCTCTCTGTCTCTTTGTCTTTCATGAAACCGAAAAATGGGATCATTCCGCAACGCTTTCATCCGCTCTTTGGCTTTCAACCTTTCTCTTTCTCTGAAAGAAAAGAAAGTTTTGAATTCGACTAAATTATCACTGTTGCCATTTAGTGATTTACTATAAAACTCTTTGGGTTTTGTAAAATTTGAATTACATATCACCATATGGTTTTTTACATCACAATAAAACAAACAAAAATTTTTATAAATTATGACTTAAAGTTAAAGAAATATAAAGGAATCTTTTTTAAAGATAAGAGAACGAAAAATGAAACTAAACAATTATTTTGTAATGACTGGTTTTTTTCGTCTCCCATTGACCTGTGTAACTTAAATTACAAATCAAATGTTTAGTAAGACATGTATTTTTAATTATTTATAATCCCCAATTATTAATAATCTTCTAAAACAAAACCAAGGAAAAATTAGTGCTGAAAAATTTTACACAATTTGGTATCACTCTGCAAGCCTTGGAAAGGAATCTACAATGGGAGAGGATGAAAGAGAGGCCATGAATGTCCTGTAAAATATTGATGGATGGATGAAGCCTGAGAGTGAGATGAACAAAATATCTATCAATCAAGTATATTGGTAAAGTGCCCTCTCTGTTCTGTTCTATTCTCCCTAGGAACATCTCATGTTTAGTAAATTTTTCTTTGAAACAGATCTCATACCTAAATGCTGGACTTTGGCGCTGGGCCATTTTTCTTTGACGCATTCTTTCCCTGCGCATTGTTTCTTTGACAGACATCTCTGTGATTGGAAAAGATTCTAAATCTATGGCAGAATCAGTGGACAGTTCTCCCATAGAAGTCTGGCACACTGGACATGGTAGATGCTGGCAGGTATGAGAAGTGACCTCTTCATGACTTGCCACATAGGATATGTTCACACTGTGAATGACAAATTTCAATTAACTTTTCACAAAGTAAGTATAGTAAATGTTAAAATTGTGTAAGACACATTTCAAATACCATTTCATAAAAGTAGGTCTAGTAGCAAATATTTTGTATCAAGTTTTACAGATGGTTATTAGTTGGGACTATCCAAACAAAATTAAGTGAAATCATGTTTATGTTTATAAACAAATCAATATTAAAACATCGTTTAATGGACAGTGGTATAGATTTTTTTTAAACAAATATAATCTTTATCATTTTCGTGTTCAGCATCAGAAGAATAAATGATATATGCAAAAGATACTTTAACATACATTGATAAAAACAACTTAACCCAAACCAAAACTTGCCGGAACCCGACACACTCCTGTCTGAAGAATAAAAGTAAACAGACGATATTTTATTAAAATGTACAAATATATTACCTTTGATGCAGCAGGGGCAATTTCTCCATAAACAGAACATCCTGGCTTAATTCTGTACCTTCTGTAGTAACATCATGAGTATTTGGGTAAATACTGTAATCAACTAGCTCTGTTTTTTCTTCTTTATCAACCAGTTTATCACAAAATAATTTCTCAAGAATACTTCCTTTATTTACATGTTTCTTAAGCGGCATTGGTCTTGTATTTTTAAAAGAAGGATCAGTTAGAAGATGCAATGAACTCGAAGACAAATCTGTGCTGGGGTCACTGAAAGAGTCTTTACTCTGTTCATTCATTAGCTCACCAAGGTTGTTAGTTCTATCAGGGGATATTTTATGATTTGTTTTAATCATTGAATACTTGTCTAACTGTAAGTCGTAAGATATTTCACAAGAATTACTTTCATGATTTTTAACTTCATAATTTGGATTCAAATTATTCACTTCCTTGTCTTTATTCATGTTGAGTTATAAGTAGTATTATTCAGACATCAGTAGAAATGTGCTGAAACAGAAAGTAAATACATCAATGTCACTGATGATAGACTACCACCAAGACTACACTACACACTAAAGACCAGTTAAGCAAGAGTAAGAAGCTTAAGTGTGTAGCAGAGTTTCTTCCAGGCATCTCTTCGGAGGGGGCAAAGCCCCCCCCCCCCCCCCCAAAAAAAAATTCTACCCCCCCCCCCCTCCGAACAAAATGAAATTTATATGTTATATAATTTATATAGAAAGTATATACTTTTAACAGTGTCCGCCCCCCTTTCCCCCCCCCCCCCCCCCCCCGAAAATTTCAAGTTAGTACTTACTACTTAGATCTAGTAAGTTAATAGTAATACTAGTAATAGGGATTTTGGTAAAAAAGCACTAATCATCATATAAAAATAAAAATTACATATTCTTGTAGAGCTGAACAAAATGAAAACAAAACAAAAAAGATTTTTTGTCTAGCTCTAATAGTTTTTTTTTTGCGAATTTTTTTGTGAGGGGTGGAATCCCCTTACTTTTGCATTGGCCAATTGTGACAAGTCATGGTATACCTGAATAAATTGAGCATAGTTATTTTAATTGCAGTTGTATTTTGTTCATATTTGCAGAGTTTAGCTAGAATGATATATAGAACTTGTAAATGCTGTTGAAATGAATAAAAATAATACAGAACTTATATTTTTGTGTTGGCTTCCTCCCATAACCCCAAAAAACTGTGTGCTGCGCAAATATGAAAATGTTTCTAAAGCCATATTTTATATAAATACAGCAAATGAAAGAACTACAAAGTTTGAAATTTAAAGTAAATGACTTGAACACTGTTATGTGCATATAATATTATAATTGCCTCATTATTTTGGGCAGGTGAAGTAGAGTCCATCTTTAAGCCATTTTGTTATAAAACTGCTGCGCAAATATGAAAATGTTTCTAAAGCAATATTTTATATAAATACAGTGAATGTAAGAACTACATAGTCAGAAATCTAAATGACTTGAACACTGTAATGTGTATATAACTGCCTTGTTATTTTGGGCAGGTGAAGTAGAGTCCATCTTTAAGCCATTTTGTTATAAAACTGCTGCGCAAATATGAAAATGTTTCTAAAACAATATTTTATATAAATACAGTGAATGTAAGAACTACATAGTCAGAAATCTAAATGACTTGAACACTGTAATGTGTATATAACTGCCTTGTTATTTTGGGCAGGTGAAGTAGAGCCCATATAAGTCATTTTGTAATAATTTAAATGAAGTTATCAGATCAATGTTTTTATGTGTGAATTGTGTATGGATTCTGATTTTCAGCATATAACTATATCTAAGGGTAAGTAGAACTTGAATACTTAAAATTACAGTTAGCACAATGCTAGTGTATAGCAACAGGTCAGACAGGTAACCTAGATCTAGGTCTGACTCTTGTCAGTCCCTCTAGTCTGACAAAATTGGATTTTAGGAAAAACATTCTGCAAAACTAGAACTAGAGCTGAAAAAATTAAAGATGGGTATGTAAATATATTTTGAAATAAAAAATTAGGAGATTTGTTTGCACATTTCATAAGAATGCTGTTGTTAGTTGATCAAACTTAAAGGCCGGAAGATCGGGATGAAAAAATATAACAATGGTGGCAACGCGACCTACATACAGTGGCCACCTCTAAACGAGTATATCTAATGTCAGAGTCAAAATATCCAAAAACAAATATCATTTCCACATATATAAGATGTGTCTGCTCAGTAATCTTCACTCATCTAGAATAACCTTTTAAAAAATCGTGATTCCAACGTATTTGAAACTAGCCTTCATACAGGGGGGAGACCAAAGCAGAGACAGTGTGCAATCAGATCGCTAAGCCATCAAAACAATGGGAAAACCATTCTACTTTTCATTTAACATTAGGAAATGACCTTTTAAACTTAATTAATTACCATAAATTAAAAACTTATTAGTATGCAAAACCAAATCTCGTGCGCCCGGTATCAGAAAGTAATGGACGATTTCGGGTCATGTTTTTACCGCGATCTCGGCCGATACCGACAACCCTACTAGTAATAGAGTCTAGTAGGCTTGGTAAATAATAAATTTATTAAGGCATAAGGCTTGATTGATAGTGAGTCTTAGTCTTCTTAGGTCTTAAAACTTGGCAACTGACGTCTTGTCTTGAGTCAACTTGTGAGACAAGTTGAGTGAGCACTGAGTCATCTGAGTGGTGACAGTAGTCTTTCTCTTTTATCAGTTCTTTGATCACTATTTTTTTTTTTTAAGAATTAAAATTTTTTTTAAAATTAGGCTAATCTAAAATCTTCATGTCTTGTGGCACTATCGAACACTCGAGTTTGAAGGCTAATACTTGTAGAACTTTAGATATCTGGAACTAATTTAATTTACTTTGTAATTGACTTGAAACTAATGATTGATGCCTGCATTAAAAAGATAACCGGGGATTTGTCTTGGCCACTCCAGTCGAGGCCTAGCAGAATGGTTTTTTTTTTTTTGTTTATCAACGAAAGCAATTACTAACTTTCTGCATTGAAGAGTTACATTATATTAAAACTTAAATCATAAGGCCTTATTTAAATTTTTAAATCATGCGTACTATTTTCTTAGACTAATTGTAAGGCTACATTTAAAAGCAAGTGGGCTCGTTATGTGACAATGAAAAATTTTAACGACACATATTATTTTATTAACATTGACCTTTGTGCTTTTTTTTTTTACCAGTAGCTGCCCTTAAAAGTTTTTTTTTTTATTTTGGTTTCACGATTGATTTGATGTAGATTTCTAGATCTGGAAGAAATCAGTTAAATTAGCCCGTAAGACCAAGTAGATCTAGCCCTCCCCTAGCTGTGCCTTAGTAGGTAATTTATCAAACCCCCTTTTCTTATCTTCCACCCCACTGAACGAAGGGTTAATAACTCGTAACTCACCGTCTAGTACCCGGCTGCCCCTTAGGCCCTAAGGCTTAGGGGTAAGGCAAACACCCTCAAACTTCATACTTGTCATATCAGGTCATTAAGAATCACAAAATCTCATTAAATAGGTTGAGAATGGTTGCATAAATCGAATCAACCATAGGTTTATGAATGAAATCTACAAACAAAGAGCCCTCAGAAATTTTAAAAGCAAGAGTGGGATTCTAAGGTTTTTGTAGGAGCCCCCCCCCCCCCCCCCAAAATGTCTGAAATAAACCATGGTAATCAATGGGTGAGGTGGTCTATAGCCAACGCCCAAAAGTTAATCAACCAAAAGGCAGATCTAGGCTCAAATGGAGAACTTAGGCAGTTTAGATTCCTGACAAGGAAAAAACAGGAGGCAAGTTTGGGTTGGAGAAGGTAAATAAAGTAGACCAAAGCCCTCCATGGGCAGTAGAACCAATGGAATAGATCCCATTTAAAAAACCATATACCATACATACATCATTAAATACTTGCCTCACAATCCCTATGAGAATCATGTTACACAATTCTCCAAAATATTAGTGCACAACAGGGGTTGGTGTGGTCGAGTCGGTAAAGCTCATGGTTGCTAAACCGAAGTCTTGAGTTTGAACCCTCGGGCAGATGAGGCTGTTAGCAGGGGACAGCCATTCTTCTAGGAGAGACAACTCCAAAATCAAACAACTGGTGCCTTGTAGTTTGTTCTTGGTTGGACAAAGGCTATGGAAGCAAATCCAAAAAGAAAAGCAGGCTGAAATCGGAGTCAATGGCCTCAATGACGCATAACCAGTTGACATGTACACTTAATTGTGTTGGAAGGTATCCCTTCAAACACTAAAATTAAGAACGAAGAAGAATAAAGTGCACACCACCTTGTTGACAATTAAACTAGCACACTAGCCCAAATGAATTAACAGGTTTCAAAATAAAAAAACAAAAACTGTAATTTTTTTTGTACTTTTCTTTATTTGGACAGAACAATCACATTCATACAGGTCACTGAGGTAATAAAGACTAATATATACTTGAGGACGTAGTAATACAAAAAGCATCAATGAAATAGATATACGATATATTACCAAAATATGTACAATTCTAAATGTGACTACAGTTTGTTCTAAAAGACAGCTACAAAAATCATATTGTGGGGAATTTAAATTTTCTGTAGAAGTTGCCCCAAAATAAAACTTCCAGCTAAAAAACTGGTAAACAAAAAACATGTAATTTAATTGTTGTCAGTGATCTTTAATCACACAAAATATCAAAGATAGCTATCTATTCACCTTAATCATTATAGAGCAGCAAAGTTTACATTATCTTTCTTTGCTGTTACATTATGATCATATATTATATATATATATATATATATATATATATATATATATATATATATATATATATATATATATATATAATAGGCAGTGGTTTATTTTAAAACATTCAAACCACAAAAATATGGGGAGAGTGGAGACTAAAAACATTTGTGTGACAGGGTTTTAATAGAGGATATTAATTAATGTGACCGTCAATACACCAACCAGACACCAGTCCATCCACACCCTCAAACAACCAATATTTGCTGATAGCTGTATTGTACATAGATAGTGCCATAAAAATAATACTTAACTCTGTACCTGTTATTTTGACTAACTACTTTATTAAAAAAAAAAAAGCCTGACACTTTCACTTTCAGAGAGTTTTTCTCGTACATAAATATTAATTTGAAAAATGTATCTACATAAAATTCATGACACAAGTATAACTGTTTCAAAATATTAAATGATGATAAATCTGATGAATTTGTGAAGCAAAAGTAGCATAGCTTGAATTTGTTAAATTCTTGTAAAATAAAATGCCCCAGTTAAACAACTAGCTCAAGTCTAGAAGAATTTGCTACCATAGGTTTGCTTTTAAAAATAAAAATGTATTTTTATCTACAGCCAGGTCAACCAGCACAAAAAAGTCTCTACTATGGATTATTTACATCATGAAAAGAAATTCTTTTAATAGATGTGCTACACAGAAAAAACTGATCACAGCAGCAAATTATGAAAATAGTTCCATCCAAGTGTATGAATACACTAGGGTGTGACACCATGATTTGCTTTATGGTTATTTTGTTTATTTTATTTTTTTTGCTGTAAGATTCTTATTATTCTTTCATATTTTTTTTCAGAAGCCCTGTGACTTGAATAAATACAATTTTCTTGACTCTAACAATCACAACAGTTAAATTTGAAAGTATATACATTAATTTAAAAAAAAGTTTTCGACTGGTCCTATTTTAAAAAAAAAAACATCCATAGTTTCTGCATTTCTTTAAAGAACACACAATAACGATGAGAGGAACAATTACTGAAATTGAGGAACACTTAGGACCAATTGCCCGTTTGTTGTAGATCCTACAGTGTTAATCAAAAGTGCAATGGCCCTTTAGGTTTTAACATAAAAAATTGTAAAATACATATTTTAGTTTGAACGGAAAAATCGTGTTTATTTCAGTAAAAATGGGTGTCAACATTTTTGACATTTAAACACAGCAAAGCAATTTTAAGAGACATCCACACAGGCCTAACATTTACAGGAGTTGCATGATTTCCATCCAATGAAAAAGAATGTATTAAAAAAAAAGAAATTTCGTTACAACTTTCTTCATACTAACAAAAAGAGGGGTGGAGATGGAGGATAACTTCATTGAAGGGAGATTTTACTTCAGTTTAAACTATGATATATCAGCAGATATTTTAAACATGAAAAACAAGATACAAAACTTGCCGGAGAAACTGAACCGTCATAATTATATAGGAATATACTATATATTAGATTCTACACACTACTGACACTAGCTACAATCAATCTTTTAACAGCTTAACACTTCTATATCACTAAAAAAAAATTCAGATTTAAATTTACATTACTCGATACAATTAATTCAGTAAAAATCAGTGATTGCAAATTTTTGGATTTAAGTATTTTTAATAAAGAAATATATAATTTTGTATTTAAAATAACATTAAATTAACTTTGCAAAAAAGAATCACTATAGAAAACATGAAAGCTGTTAAATGCCAACAAACTGTGGTATGAAATATATTACAAAACCTTACAAAGATGTGATCCAGTTTACAAGTAAAGCAGGCAATAAATTTTAGACCATTGGTGTATTGACAAGAAGATAGTGTTATTATGAAAATGCATCAAATATAGACAAGCTCGATGATGATGAAAATGATGAAATTAATGATGTTTCTACACAAAAAAAACACATAAACACATGTTTAAAAAAAGATTTTTGACAAAATGCTAAAAGTAAAATATTTGTTATTAAATAAATAAACACAATTATTGGAACGATTTTCAATTTTTTTTCTTCATTAATTACAAAAAAAAAATTAAAATGACAGAAAAAATATCTGAATACATATTCAAAACAGTAAATTATTGTTAGCTCCCCCCCAATTGAAATAAAAACCCATTTCAATGCATTCCCATTTCAACATTTGAAGAAATACAATGGAAGATAAAGATTACATCACTATTTTAAAAAATTTGTATATTTCAGTGCTTGCACAGGTACGATGTACTATTCTTTCATTACCTTGTTTATACTTAAAGATTACTATTTTTAATAATACAAATATATATATATATAATAAATTTGAAGAAAAAAAATGCCACATCCATGAATGTGGTCATAAAGGCACCTCAGATAATTATATGCGAGCCTAGTATTGTATCAGGTTGAAGCAATAAAAATGTGCTAACTGATAAGTGTATAACGCAGGTAGGTTACCACCTGACTGTGGCTTCACTGCTTGACAAGTCTACCCAAAGCCTGACCCAGAACATAATGAAATATGAAACACGGTGGGTGGACTTATGTGCTGTCATCTTTGTGGTAGCAGTGATCTTTACATACAGAAAACAGCAATGAAGCCGATAAAAATTATTTCTTCCAAATGTTTAAGAAACAAGTAAAAATATTTTTTGTTTACCCTATATATTGTAATTAAGTAATCAAAAGTGATCTTTTTAAAAAAAAATCTATTCAAATAAAAAATAACGGTAATAAAATATTTGTTCTTTAGTACATGCATTAAATAAATTGCTTAAATTGAATCAACCTTCAGCGCAAACAAGTTTGAAATAATGAAGAAAAAGTCCAGTCACGGATGCAATGATTTACGCATAAAATTCCTTCTCTGGTGCTCTGACGTATGAGTAGTTTGGTGTCTTCCTTGGTTCATCTAGTGGGTAGCTGCCTTCATCTTTCTTCCTCATGCGATAAACAACAAACATTATAAGCAGCACCAGGCACAGCAAAATCACGACTGAACCTCCAATGATACCTGAAACAGACATTCACAAATGTTTCAATCTAAGCATCAGCATAGCCTACACACACATGTCACAAAATAAGGCAGTGCCAAGTAGATCTAAAAAAATAGACAACATGACACAGTAGTCTAGACAGACTGAGAGCTTGACAAAGTAGTCTAGACAGACCAAGAGCATGACACAGTAGTCTAGACTAGACAGACTGAGAGCATGACACAGTAGTCTAGACAGGCAGAGAGTATGCCAAAGTAGTCTAGACAGGCCAAGAGCATGACACAGTAGTCTAGACTAGACAGACTGAGAGCATGACACAGTAGTCTAGACAGGCCAAGAGCATGACACAGTAGTCTAGACAGGCAGAGAGTATGCCAAAGTAGTCTAGACAGGCCAAGAGCATGACACAGTAGTCTAGACTAGACAGACAGAGAGCATGACACAGTAGTCTAGACAGACAGAATTTGTTTGTGTCTTTAATCACAGCACCATTTTGCATGGTGTCACCCAATTCACACTGGACCACAAATATGAGAAATATAACTGATCTCCCTATGTAAAATGTACATATCCTAGATTTATTTTTAATTATTTTTAAAAATATAAATAAATGTGTCACCCCTCTGCTATACGACTATTTGGCTAATTGATAGAGTGTATCTTTATACATCCCAGCTATGTCTTGTAACTATAACGAATGTTTAAAAAAAAAGGAAAGCTATATTTCAGTTGCAACAGCAATATGTAAAAAAAAATTTGACCCTGACATAGGAAGGTACTGCTGAGTCAGCACTATGCCCAACTTAACTATGAATGCACACAGGCTGTTACACTTCAGAGTAGTGGGTGGACTCAAGACAGTTTTCTTAGAAAGCTAACTCAAAACTTTTGGGATCAATCATGAGTGCTTAGTCGGAATGAGAGTGTAAACACATACCTGCTAGTATGCCTGGTTGTGTCATGATTTCACTTGTCGCCTTCTCCACTCTACCCTCACTGCTGTGTTGAATCTTCGTCCCAGAGTCATTGTCAGTTTTGTTGTCATCTGAGTCAGGTTTGCTTTCTTCATCATCATCTTCATCATTTCCCTTTGAAACTGTGTTTATTTTATCAGGCTTTTCATCTTGATCTACAAAGAACAAAATAAATATCACTACGAATGTGCAGGCATTGATAAGAGCAACAGGCTGTAAGTAGTTTCTTTTAAAGTTTCTTCTATTGAAGATTATCAAAATGCAGTGGGAAAATAAAGCAGACATCTAATATTATACTGGCAGTTCTAAACTCAAATCTGAATTTTTGTTTATTAGAAGAGCCAAAAAGGTGTACATCATATTGTATGGTTTGTTGTCTCTTCAAATCAAGCATTTGATTGTTATTAAAATTGAATACAGTTTTTTCATGCTAATGCTTAACCACGGCAGTTGAATGTAATTATAGTGTTTTAAAAACATTGCCATTTAAAAAATATTTCTAAAAATTCAGAATCAACTGTACCAAAAAAAAGCAATAAGTAAATTCAACTTAAAAAGACAGTTTAGCTATATCATGACCAAGATATTAAATAAGTTGTTATGGCCTGAAAGAGTTAAATTTACACAAGAGTATTAGCCACAGCTTATTTGAATAACAAAAATATTGGTAAAATGCAATTACCGGTTACTGGGTTACCCTCTCCTTCATCAAGGTCAATTATATTCTTTTCCTAATGAAAAAAAAATTAATAAAGAAAATCAAGTTTTAAATAGGACTATACAAAATTTACAAAAGTAAACTGAACTCTACACTAAAGTCAACATTTTTAAACTCTTTTTTGACAAGACAGGCATCATTATTGACAAGTCAGATACAAAATGTAATTGGTTTTTTAGCCTTAACCTATGCCTTCCGACACACAATGTCATCTAGTAGTTAAATTTAAATAAAGGTAACTAATTACATTAATTGAAAAGTGCTCATTAAGGCCTTCGGTTTCTGTAACTATACTTTGTTTTATGTGGACGAGTAATTAACCCATTGCACAACACCCAACCTGGAGGACTAGGGCACAACATTTGGTCTGGCCCCTACCCCCGCAGATGTGTCAGACTTTGTTAAACCAGCCAGGAGCACTAGTCTCCCGCCAGCATAGCTCTGGGGGTCGCTGGGCCACACAAGCCATCCCACCACTTCAAAGAGGTGTGCCATCAGGGAGATTGCAAAATTAAAAACCAGAGATCGGACAAAATGGAAGGATATGGTGGAGGCTCTATGTTCCACAAGGAGCAAAGAGGGCTAAGTCAAGTCATTAATGCCTTATGTCTAAAAGAAAACTGTTAATTAAAACCTAAACTTATATTATTTATTTTGTAACATACCTCATTTTCGCTGCTGCTTTCTTCTTTTTTAGTATCCACAGCTACAATTTTTGGTTCATCTACATCAACTTCTAAACAGAAAGAGAGCACATAGTTAACATAACATATCAAAACTCATCAGATAATTTGATGATACAAGGGGAAAAAAACATAGTTTTACTTTACTTCTATTTCCAGCATTTAATTTTAATTACCAGTGACAAACAATCTCTTGTAGCTAATATCAACTCCAATACGAACATTATGTGTGTAATCCACTAATGATTAAGAATCACGAGTTTACAACTATTACCCCCATCAAAGTGAAGTGAACACTCACCACAATTAGGCATTTTAGGTTTGTGTGTGTCAGTGCCAGTCACCTTGATACCTGTCTTCTCATCCACACAGAAACACAGGGACCCGTGGCACTGGACTTTTTCAAACAGATCATTCACACACTGAGGACGGTAGACACCTAGCAGTCGGGGGCTTGTCCTAACATGTTTCACAGTGCGGAATATGCAGAGGCTCAGGTTGAGACCTGTAAACAGAAAACCAAACATGCATCACAACATCTCACAAACTGCAGGTTATAAAAAAAAACAGTACTGCATTTTTTTTTTATTTCCAAAATTGTAAAAAGGCAATGATTTTCTCAGTGGAAAAAGACTCATGATGAAAAAAAGATATTTATTGCTCTTTTTACTTTTAATGGTTATAATTTAAACAATTAGAGTTAACTGTTATAGGGGGTAGCTGCTACAGATTTTTAAAATTTGATGTAATGTAATATGAATTACTGGCATTACTATTTTCACACCAATATAAATTCTTTAATGTATTTTAAGTTTTTAGTAAATTAAAACAAGGCAATTTATAATTTAAACAATTAGGTGTTAACTGTTATAGGGGGAGCTGCTACAGATTTTTAAAATCTTCTATAATGTAATATGAATTATTATCCTTACTATTTTCACACCAATATAAATTCTTTAATGTATTTTAAGTTTTAAGTTTTCGGTAAATTAAAACAAAGCTATTTAATTTTGAAAACAAATTTTTTATTTATCCTACCTGTTTCGCAGTCTGGATAATTGGGTGCTTTCATCAAGGTACCCATGATAAGTTTACCATCAAGATCACTGCACCAGCAATCACCAGTTCCTTTATGTCCGTTACACTGCAGGGCATCATAGGAGCCATCATCAAGGCACCGGGGCACGAACACCCCAAGTGTGTTCTTGCTCTCCTCACGTGCCAACTGGCAGTCTGACAATTTTCTTGCGGTGGTGGTGGTAGTGGTGGTAGAGGTGACTACCGTGGTGGTACTCACGACAGGGGGTACAGAAAGTTTTGCGGTAGTGGTATCTTTTTCTGTAACAAGCAAGTATTTCTAAAGTAATTTAGTAAAATGATTCATTCCAAGGTCATTATTTGGAGTCATGTTAACTATCTATAACAAATAAGTGGTTTTTTAAAATCCCAATTTTAAGCAATGCATAACTTGAATGGGGGACAGCATGGTCAGATGGTAGAGCTCACAACTGCTAACCTGAAAGTCTCAGGGTCGGATCCTAGGCTAGAATCTGTTGGACATTCTAGTCCACCCTGATCTATTTATCTTACTCATGTAAGGGAGGTAAGTGCAGTAAGGCTTAGTGCCAAGGTCATTGAAACAGCGGAACTCTACTTTATCTGCCACACGTATATTGGGCAGGAATGTAAAAAGATGATGGTAAGATGCAAATGATACTCAGTTAGACCTACCATTGAAATCACCCATTCCACTGCCTGATCCTGAGCCAGACAGCCCAAAGTCTTCATCATCAGAAAAAGATCCACTGCCATTTTCGAAATCCTGTTAACAGATGAAGAAAAGTAAATATAAGTCATGCTCTAGTACAGAGGTGTTTGTCTATTGAAATCATCATCAAAATCATGGCATAACTGTATTTTACTTATAACATGCCTTTTTTGAGTTTCTAAATAAATCTAAACAGTATTTAAAATTCGGTTTTGTTAATGCTGAAATAAATATGGGGCTTTAAATATTAATAATTACTAGTCAAAAAGGTATAGCAAGAGTGATTTATAAAATTTATATATAGTGCAATACTTTTCTTCTAGCTTTCTTGTTAAAGTTAAACAAAATATTTAGTATTTGGAATATTGATTATCCTAAGTATGGATAAACAAAACAAAAAAATAGTTAAATTCTGGTTCAGTGACCTTACTAAAAATGAACTAGAAATCAGAACTTAGTTTTAACATTTTTAAAAAATTGAAAAAAATATTAGATCTGATTAACACAGGGTTGTAGTAGCTGCTATATTAAGGTTTTTTGGGGAGACAAGTAGTATGACTATATTGTACTCACAAACTTGATATCTCCACTCTTTGTCTGAAAGGGAACAAAAAATTGTGGTTAAGTCAAGTGGAAGAATAACTAACAAAAGTTATTTTAAACAACAAAATAATTGCCTGAGTGTATCACAACTTCAAATGTTTATACACACACATACAACTATAGAAATAAAAGTTAAAATATTCGGCACATATCCCGCGCTGCCATTCATCTAGCCGCTCAATGATCATGCCTTTGTCTGACAGATTAATCACAGCCTGTCTTGTTGATTGAGTCAGCCATCAACAGGGAAGATGTGATTAAATCAATTTTAAACCGGGGATAATTGATCACTGTTAATGCATTCTCTGGGACATTCTTTAAGGTGAAAACAACTGACATTCAAAATGCTTGTACTCTTATGTTTCCCAAAAAGAAAAAAAAAACAGAAAACGAAATGCTGTCGCAGACATCATGGTAAAATCAATACTGCTTGATGCTGATAACATTTTGATACGGAACCACAAAACTAGACTACAAATGAGTTTTTAGTTATTTGATAGACATCACAATAAGATATAGCCATTTTGTAGAGCCCGGCCTGGAATTGAAACGAGAAAGACGTCCCCGCGTTAATGGGAAAAAAAGCCATCCTGAATCTAGTTGGGAATGTTATTAGAAATTTGCATTTTTTCAATATCTTTTCATCTGTCCGATGCTTACAATGTGAGGACACATTGGAGAGAGAGGAAAACTGCTGATCTAGCTGCACCACATAAGACACAAAGAGAAATTGTTAACAGTTGATGTGCCAGGCTTTGTATAAGGAAAGCAATAAGTCTTTAATAAAAAAATTCTTCCAATAATCACCAGTCAATCCCAGTATAACATGAGGACCAAGAGGAATGGGAAAAAGCTTGACAAATAATATTCTTGTGCGGTGGAACAATGTGGCTGTGTGATAGTGATAGTAAAAACATTATAACATACAATATTTTAGACTACTTTATTCAATTTAACTACACAAATTGACCATCCAAACTCTACCTTAGGTAAAAATGTGTATTGTAGATAATTTTACTTTTGTTCATCAATGAATAAGTGTTAAATCCTAAAGAATAAATAAATTACCAAGTACTTAAAGAACTAAGAATGAAGAGAAAGAGTTACATGGCAAAAACGACAGATGATAAAACAAAAAAACATTAGCAATGCCTAGATAAGACAGGGCTCTAAGAGCTCTCTTATCTTAAGTGGTGCATGGCTGTAACAGGGCACTAACAACAGTACACCACAGTTGATTTACAAGTACTACACTACAAAGTTTAGTTAACATTTACATTTAATTTAGTCATTGGGTTTGGATTAGTTTTGTTATTAGTGTTATTATTAGTATTAAGGAGAAATTAGGTTGTACTAGGAAACGTTAAATTTAGAATTAATTTCAGTTTTAAGTTTTATGGGTTTTTAATAAAAATTGTGTTTATGGATTAAACTGAGGTTACTTTCTATAGAGATGCTTAGGGATATCAAATTAATTTTATTATACGGTGTTATGTGTATTTTCTGGATGAAGCTAAACATACATCATGACTTCTACTTCTGCTTATGGTTTTGCCCTATAAATGTATACATGTTGATCAAATCTATGTATGTTACTTAACCAAATCTATGCGTATTATTATTATATAAAAATCTCTGTATATTAGTTGATTGATCATACGAAATGCAGGAGTTGATAAAATATCTCAACACGACTTAGGTCAATAATAAATATGCCTGCTATGCTAAAGCCATTCCATTACCTAATGGACGGCCCTGGAGTTGTAATGCTCTTTGCAGCTCAAGAAGCCTCGAGGTTTATTCAATGTATATTCCTTGCCGGCTGACTACTGATCCATTAAAGGGAAATATTGATTGGTTTAAATATAGTTGTTCTGTTAACTTGCTGGGCTTTGAATGCAACTATAAATCTGATTATAAGCCTTTGTGAAATATTAACTTCAAAAATTTGGTCCTACACTTTCATGATTTAACTAGCAAAAAAAAAAAAAAACCCACCCCACCCCACCCCACCACATGTATTTCCTGTTCCAGACATCTTTAAACATACATCAGAAACCTAATCATAAACTACTAGATCTCTGCTAAGTTTTTTTTTGTTAAACTTTTTAAATCTGCGCCCAATTTTTTTTTTTAAATTGCTCCCCCTGGGTGCTGACAAGAAAATCAATTTTGGACCAAATAAATGATTAGAGTCAAATAAATCAATGCTTCCAACATCAAGCTGTGTACCAAGTCATATCCCCCTCCCCTCCCAACTTCCTCATCAAATAGCTAGCGCAGGGTGGAAAAAATTAATTACTGGAGATGGAAGGGGGGGGGGGGGGAAGTGGAGTTGAGATAAAATAACTAAATATTTACAACAAAAAAAAACATTAAAAACTGTAATAAACCTTCTACACACCAAACACATGGCTTTAAAAAAAAAGATCAGATCATGTTTTTAAAAACTTGACATCTAAGTTATGGGGGCAAAACTTGATTAAGGTCATGGCGACATTAAGAATCTATTTCTTCTTAATGCCAGCAAGTAAATTACAGTTCAAGTGTTTTTTCTTTTAAATTCCAGCAACTACTAGCCAAGCTTACAACATTATTTCTAAATGTTTACTTTGGAAGGTAGTCAAGAACTGTGTTTAAAAAAATTTCAAACAAAATTTTTGATATCATCAATACATCGCCAGTAAACATTTCCTGACATTTCAGAATATGTTTTAGTTCATGAACTTCTCAAAATTGAAACAGTTCTAGTTACTTGTCAGTTATTAATCTGTTTCATCTTTAGAGTATGTGTGTGAAGAATGGAAGAAGGAAATGAGTAAGGAGAAAGAAAATGAATCAATTATTAACTGACTAACAGAGAACACTCTGTGCTGGGGCTGAGATTAAAGATGAGATAAAGGCCAGCGTTGCTGCCAGTCCTATTCATAACTTACTAGCAACCTGCGTGACCCCCATCTTTCCTTGGGCACAAATTGACAGATAATCACAGAGACGTTCCACCGCCCTAAGATATCAATTTCAACCTAGGACATCATGGATGTGACTAGAATCAAGTACAATGTTGCCTACATTAATAGTACGTTGGTGATGTGACCAGAAGTAAAATGTTGCCCAAAATGTGAGGACATTGAGGATTTGACTAGAATCAAGTAACAATGTTGCCTACATTGATAGTATGTTGGTGATGTGACCAGAAGTAAAATGTTGCCCAAAATATGAAGACATTGAGGATTTGACTAGAATCAAGCAAATGTACACCACAGTGTTACATTGAGACATCATGAAATTGTGACTAAAATCAAATTAAATATTAATTTAGACAGAAGTTGACAAGGACATAAGAGCACAAAGCAAACAGTAAAATTTTAAGAGATATAAACAGTGGCCATGTTGAAGCACACACAATAAGATCTCACAAGATATAAACAGTGGCCATGTTAGAGCACACAGTAAGATCTTACAAGATGTAAACAGTGGCCATGTTAGAGCACACAGTAAGATCTTACAAGATGTAAACAGTGGCCATGTTGGAGCACACACAGTAAGATCTTACAAGATGTAAACAGTGGCCATGATGGAGCACACACAGTAAGATCTTACAAGATGTAAACAGTGGCCATGATGGAGCACACACAGTAAGATCTTACAAGATGTAAACAGTAGCCATGTTGGAGCACACACAGTAAGATCTTACAAGATGTAAACAGTGGCCATGTTAGAGCACACAGTAAGATTTTACAAGATGTAAACAGTGGCCATGTTAGAGAACACAGCAAGATCTTACAAGATGTAAACAGTGGCCATGTTGGAGCACACACAGTAAGATCTTACAAGATGTAAACAGTGGCCATGTTAGAGCACACACAGTAAGATCTTACAAGATGTAAACAGTGGTCATGATGGAGCACACACAGTAAGATCTTACAAGATGTAAACAGTGGCCATGTTAGAGAACACAGCAAGATCTTACAAGATGTAAACAGTGGCCATGTTGGAGCACACACAGTAAGATCTTACAAGATGTAAACAGTGGCCATGTTAGAGCACACACAGTAAGATCTTACAAGATGTAAACAGTGGCCATGTTAGAGAACACAGCAAGATCTTACAAGATGTAAACAGTGGCCATGTTAGAGAACACAGCAAGATCTTACAAGATGTAAACAGTGGCCATGTTGGAGCACACACAGTAAGATCTTACAAGATGTAAACAGTGGCCATGTTAGAGAACACAGCAAGATCTTACAAGATGTAAACAGTGGCCATGATGGAGCACACACAGTAAGATCTTACAAGATGTAAACAGTGGCCATATTGGAGCACACACAGTAAGATCTAAGGCGAGAGTAAGCCAGTGGTCTGGGTGTTCAAGCTTTAGCAAAAGCAGGTAGAAAAAAAAAACACAAGGAGTAAATTAGAAAAACAGACCCAGCAAGCCATTGCGCTTTCAAGGGTGAGGAATGCAGGGCGCTGACTTCAAAGGGAGAATTACTGCAGTGTGATAGACGTGTTACACATACTTCGCTGTGACAGAAGGATTACACATAGTTCACTTGAATACGAATAGTCACTGTAGCTTCTACTACTTTAGCAAAAGTAAGAGCCAGTCCTAAGAACAGGACTATAAGGTACATATCGATAAAATAGAAAACAAACGCATTATATCCACACACAAAAAAACAACTAAATTTAAAGGGGAAAGTATTTTAAAAAGTATTAAACTTTAACGTTTTTAATTTCATTCTAGTTTTTTTTTACATTTTAATTAACTTGTTTTACATTTTACTTCTTTTTTTCTTCTTGTAACTTGAACTATTGTCAACATAAAATTATAAACGTATATTTCTCTTTTGAACGGTCGATATTTGTTTACAATGATACAGGGACTAACAGAGCTGATAACTAACGGTGATGAGCACTCTAAAAAAATTCCCCCTGCCTGCTTCAACAAGTCGTATCCTTTCTCTGTGCTCACCGGGCAAGTCCGGCCG